GGGGGGGGGGGGGGGGGGGGGGGGGGGGGGGGGGGGGGGGGTGTACTCATAGTGGGTAGGGTAAAAGGTAGAAACGAGGGGTAGTCGTTCCGTTGTGGGCGGGAAAGAAAATGATCGCCTGTCGGGCACCTCTGTCCTGTCTTTTGCTTTGATGTGAAATTATGTGATGTGCTGTGCTTGTCGTGGTGCGTGTAATGTTTGCGAATCGATTCGCTGTTAGGTCCCCCAAAGACACAAGACGCGCGCGGAACAGGCGCAGGAACGCCAACGGTGGGCCGGGTGTTGCGCATCGGTCCAGGAAATGTGGCTCGCGTTCTTTTTGCTGTTGTTATGGACTACGAAAATGATATGAACGCGCGTGGTTCCGATCCGGTGCAAAGGAGATTTTGACATTTACAAGCGCGAGCATTTTTCGAGCGCGTTGCTGACGTGCCCAGAGTAGACGAAGACCTCGGGGACTTCTGTGGCGATGATGGCAAGCCGGGAGCTCATCTAACCACCCGCTCGTTGCAAAACGTTGGCTCATGGAGCAGGATGTTTGCACGGGGGTAGTGTGTGAAAAACTTGGAGCGAAGCGATATTTTTTTTATGGGAAACGGTGAGCTGCGACTTCATGTTTCAAACCATCGCGCCCCGGTGTGAGATTTCTCGCATATGCTCGGCATCCGCAGAATGAATCCCGATCCTGCTGCACGAAGGGTCTTGTTTTGAGTGAGCTCATGGAATATGTTGCAGCATCAAAACATTCCCATCTCAGCACTAAATCAGGGCGGCGAGGACGGGAGATAGGCACTCGCCAGCACCCTTTCGAGTGTATTCTACGACCAACCTACGGCACGAAACGCATCCAGCGCCCCCGCGTCATGTCAAGGATAGCGGTAGGTATCACAGCGAAATTACAGCACCTTACACTTGCTGGTCGAGATTTTTCAATGAGGAACAGAGGCAGCTCGTTGATTGCAAGCTCACAGCAGCGGCAGGGGATACGGCAACACACATGGGGCACCCCGTTTTGCAATCATGACACCGTCAAACCTATCCAGGAACACACCCACGATCATACAGTGTTCGTGCTTACGACGCCTGCCTGCTCTCAAAGAAGTTAGACGCAGCCGCGCTTGTCACCCCCCACTCACGCTTTCAGAACCCCTTCCGCGCCACAATAGCCTAAACCTGGGGGACCACAAATGTGCTCCCACCCAACGCAATGGAGTGCCATCGGTTTACGAAATGTGCACCAAAAACAAATTTTTCTAGATCAGCTCACCAGCATATGTACAGAAAGCGGTAGAGAGAGAATCGAATGGCAGTTCAAGACTACCTTCAACGCGGCCCCATTGTGTGCCCCAGAAACTGGTGCAGCGCCAACACCGCCTCGAGACCTACGATATGGATAGTTTTCAAAGCCTCGAGGTCTTGAAATACCGCAGGTTATGGTCACACTTCACGAATAACGCGGGTACACACATACAGCTGTGTCAATCTGTGAGGAACAAGAAAATCACCATACGTCCACGGCAAAGTAACAGTAACCCGAGAAATATCACACTAGAGTATACTAAGTATGAGCCAACAAGAAGTTACACCCCACGAAGACCTTGTCAAAAACACTGATGAACACCCCTGCTCAGTCTCCCCGGCGCCACCGGAATCGGGACAAAAAAGAACATCAGTGAAACTTCCGAAGGCGTCGCTCCATCGGATGTATGCATAGTAGCGCAAACCACGACGTCCGCGTCAGTCCCGCTCCTAGTGCCAGAATTGTCTTACCTCACACATTTTGGAGATCGCTATGTAGCCGGGCCCGTCCCGCTCTCTTGTGGGGTTCTCGCAACAAGCACCCCACACACACCCAACGAGCCATCCACACACACAACCGTGGCAAAAAACCTATCGACTCGCAGGCGGGAAAGCCTGGACCACTCCAACCGCTGCCTCCCCCAAGCCCAGCGCGGCCACGACTAGCGGGTGCACAGGGGGCTTAATGAACGCCCAGTGAACGGCGTTGGGAAGGTAGAACACCATCCGCAATTGCTGCAACGCCACTTGTCTCTTGCTCGCGGCGATCTGGGACAGCGCTTGTCGCAGCCCGGCGGTCTCAGATTCTACACGTGGGGATAACGAGAGCAGGCAAGCGGTGGCGGCCGTCGGTATGGTAGCCTCACGCAGGCTATTCGTGCCGGGCAACACATAGATTTAGCACTGGCAATACCCTTACTTTTGAGACTGCCGGCAAGATAACGTGGTCGGTGGAACAACCGTCGTAGGCGTTAGCCTTTTCTCTGATCAAGCTCACTGCTGGCGCGGCATTGAAGACACGGGGAAAACACAAAACAACTCCATTTCTTGATGCCATTTCCATGCCGACGCCGAAGAAACGGTTTCCACCGCCGACGCCGCTGCCCCCGTCCCCTTCCAACTCTATTCCTCGCTACCCAAGCTCACTCACCCGCACAATCCCTGAGTTTTTTCCGTACGCCTTCCTCTCGCCTCCGTAGCTCTCTCCCCTTGAGCACGTTCATGTACATGTCGATGATGCAGAAGGCAAGCTGCCGCGATGAAGAACGATTTTAATAGCGCCGCCGGTCAAGAGCAACATTTTCGCGGAACGATAAAAGGTGGAGACAACTTGATTCAGGTTTAGTTTATTGCTGCTGACGGGCTTGTTGGTGCTGGATATACGTTCATGACGCGACACAGGAACAGCGACAACAGCACTAGGACGAGGGGTAGAAGACTAGACCCTGTTCGATCCTTCGTCCAGGCGCCACCTAACGTCGTACCGAATACTACCCTACCTCTCTACGTTCCCGGACGGGCAAGTTCACACGAGTGCGACCTCACCTCCCGAGAGAAAAAATCGTTCACCAAAAGCGCATAGGACTGACGCGCTCTCGCATTTAGTCACTTGGACAGGAGGCCTTTACCATATGTTTGGGGTACTGGGATACGAGACCCAATCTGGGAAACATTTTTTTTGGGGGGGGATGAGGTATGCTATTGGGGGTCCAAGTGCGGGACCCCTCGAGAGAGAGCACGCGCATATGTTTGCTGAATGTGTTTGTGTGCTGGAAGAGGCACGGTGTGATAATTCAAGGTTTACGTCATCAACATCGGTCCTGGGTTAACCCAGTCCCCAGGTCATATCCAACTACCGCGGGAAGGCGCGGTAGCTTCCGCGGGAAGGCGCGGAGGTACAGACACTAAGTCACAGCAACCCTACGCACGGGCGCGGGCAAAACGGCAGCTGGTGCCGAAGAAATATTGCCGAAGATCGCCCAATCCCCGCGCCTGCTAGGAACTTGCGCCTCGCCGACTCACAGAGATGCACCTTGCACAACCCTCGCAGCTTCCTCACCGTCATTTCGCCGTCCGTCTCGTCATGTGCAGCTGCGGCGCCAACGTCGTCGTCTCGAGGACGGGCTGGGGCAGTGCCGGGCCCTCTTCGAGACGACAACGTCGGTGGCGCAGCTGCACCCAACGAGAAGGACAACAAAAAGATGGTGAGGAAGCCGCGAAGGAAGCGGACGACGTATCACCCCGAGCCTGCCAGCCGTACCTTCCCCGGCAGGCTCGGGACCTCTTTTTCCTTCGTCATGCTCGCCGCTAGTAGCTCGCCACACCAGGCGGTGCAAGCAATTAACACGTGCACAAGCGGGGACTTCGTAGCATTGGCAGCCTGTAGTGGATACGGAAGGCTGCGTGGTTTGCGCGGCTCGCGCGTGAATGTCCGCTTGAAGCGGGGTCTTCGCCTTGCAATGGACAACACCACCAACAACGACAACCACAGCTACGACTATTATTACTACTAGGCACACATGCACACGAAAATCTCCAGGTACTCATCTAAACTGTTGCATCAGGCGTGAATAGATATAAGAGCATCTGCTCTCACCCATGCCCAATCAGATCTCGCCCACCACCACGCCTGGTCCACCGGAAAGAGCTTCGGTGCGATGCCCCCCGCCAGAGCGACTTCCTCCATCGGGTGGTAAAACACATTGGTCAAGGCTTGCAGTCTAATAGACAGTGAGTGGAGGGGAGATAGAAAGGGTGCATCGGATTAGAGCGGTGCTGGTGGGAGGCAGAAGCGAGGTAGGGATGGGGAGGACCGGGAGTACCTCGTGTTACTGCCCTGAGCTAATAGACCACCGACTTTCTCCCTTCCAGACAAGAGTACTGCTGCTACGCCGCCGAGCAGGGATGCCGCCAAGAACGCGGGCGCCATTCACCCTTGTTGCCAAGATTAAGTTGTCCAAAGACGCCGCCTGCTTGGGCGGTTGTAGTCACCAGCTATCTGCCAAAAAAGTGATCCATGTTGTCGAATGTACCCCCACGAGGGGATCGCTGGCTTCAACAAGGAGCCGTGGTGTGCAGAAAGCCGGAGACCCACCCAGCAAGCCTTCACCAATAGGCCTGTGTGAAGCCAGCTCTGTTCGAAATAGAGAGAAACACAATCAACCTCGTGCTGTACGAGTTGCCAGCAACGCGTCAAACACACACACCTCGAAAATCTACAACACAGCAGTACAGCACCAGTAGATGCACCACAAGAAAATACAGCAGCAGCCCATGGCCTTCGTGAAACTCGCGTGCGTGCCGACATGGCTTTTAAGGAAGAACGGTAATGCCGACCGACAAGCGCAGTAACCGGCAAGAATCCAAGCGATCACGGCAACACACACGCGGCAAGAGCAGCCACACGGTGTGTACTGGAGAACTAAACCCCCTTTCTCTGCCTCTGCTGCATGAAAAACAGCCCGGCAAAGTCTAGGGAGAGTAATGCATCCTCTTCTTGGCAATCCCCGGAAATCAGCCTGCACGGTGCTTGTACGCTAGACTTGACTACGGTAGCCCCATCGGTGGCGATGCCCCTACATATTAAGCGACCCGCTCTCACCGCGCCAACGGTCGGATCCTGACATCGTCCCACCCGTCTGCGCCGGACAGGTGCTTTAGCTCCCACACGGCCTCAGCCGTGCCCTGCATCCGAAAAATCACGCGGGCTGAGGACAGGGCCCCATACAGCTGGTTAAGACCTGCCGTCGGTATATAGAAAGTTGCAATCGGTAGGGGGCGTGCAATATCAAGTCTCCCGATATTTACTACACACAGATTGGGGTAGTGCATTTGCTCACAGATCGGTTGAGGATTTGTGGGGGATATATACGAGCGGTCAGCAGACCACTTTCAACGAGTCTGGATTAGGTGGTCGACATCCCCACCACACGCGTTGCCACCGTTCGCGTACGCGGAGTTTCTATGTGCGCTACCGCCGGTGGCCCACACAGAATCCCCCAACACGCGACGAGAATAACAGAAAAATGGTTGAGGGCTGCGTGCCTGCCATCAGCACAACGATCAGCTTTCACCCACGTGAACCGTTGGTTGGCACCGGTAGGAACCGTCGCGTGCTCTCTGGTACTTTCCTTGGTCGGCTCACCCTCTGATCTTCGGGTGTCCTTTCCACCATTCCGGTATCGAATAATCTGAGCGATCGTAGATAAGGAGTACCTGTCACGCCAGGAGGCCAAGGAGGGAGGAGGTGGGCAACGACAAGCCAATGCGCGACAGAAGAAGAGGCGAATCCTCCGAGGGTCAAAAGGGATCAGCCGTACATAATCTGCGCATGGATTCCAGCATTGGCCCGAGGACGCCTTGCACAACTAAAAACACCGCGACCGTGGTGCTAGTATTTCCGCTGGGGGTTCACTGATATTCTGAGCAACGTGTTAAGTCTTGCAAGAATGTAGCAATGTTCACCCATCGCTTGCGGCGTCGTTCGCAGCGTCTGTGCTGAAAATTACGGGAACAGGATTTGCGTGTCTGTGTACAACGTGTAGCTAGTGTTTGATGCCGTCGCTCGCAGGGACATGTGCTACTGTATGGCTGGCAGGTACTGCTGTATCCCCTCATGTTCGGTGGTCCTCCCTATGAGTCCCAGGCTGACGCGTCCAGACAATATACCGAAAGGAGGAAAAGCATTTGTCCGAATACATGGATACAGAGAAGGCACACATTTCCCGCTTATTGGATGCGGCTCGAGCTCCCTCAATTTGGGGATCACCGGGATCACGCCGAAAATGGTGGGCAAGAAATGAGTTACTCCGCCCATGCTTTGTGCGAGTTGCGAGGTGGTGAAAGGTGCGTACATGCTTAGCCTCCTAGGATAAGAAAATCTTTTTTGGGATCATTGGTGAGTGGTGGCGTTCATGAACAAACTGGGGTCTGCCCACCTCGAACATGTGGCATCCTCTGCAGCACAACTTTTACGTACATGTGCATCAACCTCGACGATCTCGGGCGTTGGTTTGACAGCACAGCAGTTGTCGACTTTCCAGAAGGCAAAAATACATGAACTCCTTCAACTTACCCCAGCAGCTTGATGCACTTGTCGTTGCGGTAGGTGCCAGCGACGAAGGTGACAAACCTATCGAGGAAGTCTTTGGCTCCCTCGCTCTGGGATGATGACATCGGGAGGTAGGCTGGCTCTCTTCTTGACGCCGCTCTTTGGCAGAGAACTTGCGTGTGTCCTCAAAGACAAAGCTCTTCGTCTGTTGGGAAATATTCCTGCCGGCAACAAGGCTAACAATAGATATTGCCTGAACGAAATGGATTCTTTCTTGACGGTGCGAAGCCGGTGGTGGTTACAAACCTGGCGGTGTGATCACGCCATCGCGCAGCGTTTGACATGAAGCGGTCAGCAAAGGGGACACGCACATTGAACTGGGGTTGAAGCTGTATGCGTACATGTATCCATCTGCGCGCGCCCCGCCAACATGCCGCATGCCACCTGCCGCAGCGCCGCAGCCCTACCCACAACCCCAGGCACTGAGAGCAGCGGCGAGCCCCACAATCTGCGAAGCCGGGTGACATTTGTTGTCAACTTATTTCAGCCCTAATTTCACCAAATGCCGCACACGAATCGCGCGAGGCGCGCCGACCACTACCGATCTATCGATGGCGCCGGCAGCACCAGCAACAACAACGCCCATGCCGGCGGAAGAAAGCGCTCGCACCAAGAGCAAGACGGTGGTGCCCTCAACCACAACCACGACACCAATCCCAAACCCTCCGAGCGCTACGGTGGGCGTAGCCCTGATGCCGCCGGCGGCGGTGGCCGGGGAGCTGGTCGCGGTAGGGGCGGAGCGAGGTCGGGAGGCGGCGGCACCGGCAGGGGTGGTGGCGGTGGACGCGGAGGAGCCGCGGAGGAAGCCGGCGGCGGCGGCGGCGGTCGAACAGCCGGTGCCGAAACAGCAGCAGGACGAGGAAAAGGAAAGGGCAAGAACCCTTCCGCGAAGAACCGCATCCGGAGTCTAACGCGGCTGATGAACAAACCGGTGAGAGATTGACGCATTCTGCGGATTTGGATGTGTCGTCGTGCTGTGGTCACCAGCGAGAGGCAGCAGGCGCGGGACACCACGGGCACAGCTGTTGGCCCGGTCGTTGGCTGGCTTGTGTCAGCGACGTGCCTTCAAGGTAGCATGTACCCATCATGCGACCATTATATGTACAGTTCCTAAGATACCCGAATGCTGAGCTTGAAAAATTATGTGCCAAATAATGGCACTGCATTCCTAGCCTGGCAAGTCGCATGCTTGTTGGGCGGCTTCACTTGCCAGCTCCTGAGGTGCTTTCGTGTGGAAAGGTTGATACCAATAGAATTAGAGAGCGCTCCAAGATCGTTCAGACATTTGATGGGATCTGCAATACTACCTGGCTCTTTTGCGAACGTTTCCCAGCACCACACCTTCACTCAACTTCCATCTTCATCTCCGGCCGCCTGTCGACTTGCTCAATTCGAACACACGATCTGTGCGTCCGGTTCGTGTCTCTTTACGTCGGGGCGTGTGCCCAGGGCATCGAAGAGGAACTCCTTTGCGAACGTCCCCCAGCACCACACCTTCACTCAACTTCCATCTTCATCTCCGGCCGCCTCCCGACTTTGCTCAATTCGAACACGCGACCTGTGCGTCCGGTGCGTGTCTCTTTACGTCGGGGCGTGTGCCCAGGGCATCAAAGAGGAACAGCGGTTACACTTGCAACGGCAGGTTGACGAGCTAGAGGGAAAGGTGTCGGAGCGTGAAAAGCAGGAGCGCGAACGAACTCTTGCCGTCAAGTGAGTCCTTCGCTGTTGTCGTGAAACATGTCGGTGCATGTTGGTAAGCCTGTGAAGGGCAGGTGGGGGGGGGTGTACTCATAGTCGTGCATGCCGTAGTCGTTAAACCATTGACCTCGCATCCCTACAAAGCCGGGACGGAGCACGCCGGGTCCTCACCGGACCAGGCTCTTACACCACCAAGCGCGAAGCGCCGTGAGATATTCGGCGAGTCGCATGAAGGGTGCGCTGCATCTTGCTCAGGGTGTTCGGCATATTCTGCTTACTCCCTTGCATACGGATGACAGCTGCGTATGACTTAGTTTACTTTCTGGTGCTTAACTTCCAGAGACAGTTGTAAGCACTATTTAACTGCCTCGAGGGTGCTTGACCATTTTAACACAACGTGGTACGATCATCCCCCTTGCGCGGAGTGAGGCTTCTCCGCCCCGCACAACATGATCTACTCGACCACCAGTATGGTTACCGCCAAAAAAAAGAGATTTAAAAAAAAAACAGTAACCTGGTTGCCGAGTTCACGAAGTGAATTGGCTTGTTTTACAACGTTGTTGTAAAGCGACAAAAACCCAACCCCGATGGCAAACACCGGGGGGGGTGTGGAGGGCAGGTGGGAAAGAGGAATACGCCGTGGAGACTCCACGGCTCTATTACGCTTCGCTTAGCAATGGCACCCATACCCGGAGCTTCTCTGGTTGGGAACAGGTTGATGACAACGTAGATTTCGTAGCAGTCATGCCGTCGGATCTGTTTGTTTGTTTGGTGTGTGTGCCAAAGGGTACTCGACACCTCCGCGTACGGCATCATGTCGACTTGGAAAGGCTTTCCCGCCATCGAGGCGCAGCATCCACGCCGCTGTATCCGATTGCGCTCAACTACTTTATCGGCTCAAGGCCTGGATCTTAAAGCTTGCGAAAGTATGGACCACGATTAGGTTGTAGTGACCATCGTAGGGCTAAGCCTGCTTGCTTGGCACTACCCTGTCCCCCTTCCCTTCCCTACTGCGGGGTTCAGGTACCACAAGGCAAAGTTTTTCGACCGCAGGAAAGCTCTCCGCCGACTGGCCCAAATTCACCGCAAGTTGAAGGGGGTGAGTTACCACCAGGGGTGGGCGGGTACTTGTGCCCCCTCCTCCCCCGAGATTTCTACGTACCGCGCAGCAGTTGCAGATTACGGAGCTTGTGATTCAAGCAATAACGTTGACGTATGCAGCTTGGTATTTCACGTCGTCTCTTTGCTCCAACGAATTCAGCGTTGTCCCAGCCACCCCAACAGCATTTCTTCAGTCCTAGGCTGGTCACGAAGTACAGTTCCAATGTGGAAGAGGTTTCGTGTCGGAAGCATCATTAGTGGTGTGATTGGTGGCAATGGGCGTGCGCGTTCCCCCCATTGTCAGGGAACAAGAAACCTTGCTTGTTCAGAGTCCTCACCAGCTCACCCACGTCTGCGCTTTACAGGGGGAGAGTGGTCTCGTCCTAATAATTATGGAAACGTCAACAGAACCCGCTTGTGTCCCGCCATCTCATGTCCTTTTTGCCCTTCCCCCAACGGCGTGATGTGATACAGGGCATCGAGGAGGCCGCGCGGGCGGAGCTGGAGCGAAAACGAGATAGCGAGGAAGCAGACCTCAAGGTACCGCCTACACGTGAACATGGGCTGCCAAGAGTTGTAGCTCCTATTGCCGAGGTTTAGTACGCGTCGCCGGCGGCGGTCCACTTGTGCTCGGGTATTGGGAGGAACATTGCCGGTGGCGCGCCGTCACTCGACGTACCTCTGCTCCTGGCAGAAGTTCCACCTGCTTGAAGCAGCAAAAAACACGATTTGGCCACGCGCTCCCGCTCGTGAAACCGAAGCGCTGAATCCTTAATATTCATTTCTTCCCGGAACTTACGGCCGCCTGCTTTTTCCCAACCGGCCACCCCCAACAGTACGTGCTCTACTTCCCCAAGGACAAGAAGTACCTCCCGCTGGGAAAGGGGAAAGAGGGCCCCCCACGTGCCCAGCGGTCCCATGCGCGCTTCCTGAAGGAAGCGTTGGTGCGAGGGGAGGCAGCCGGGTGGACGGAGTTCCAGGACAACCTCGACAAGTTTGTCACCGGCGGCGGGGAGGGCGGCCGGCCTAAGGTAGCTGTGGACGCCGCCGCTGCCGCCGAGGAGGGCGATGTCAAGCGGAACAGGGGAATCGGAGCTCTTCCTGTGGTGGCGCAGCAAAAGCTGTGGGATGACGGGGAGGACAACAGCAGCGCGGAAGGGGAGGGCACGGGAAAAAGTGACACGGAAGAAAGCGAATCAGATTCCGGGGATGGTGTGGCCGGCCAACAAGGAGCGGGGAAGAACGCTGCTCCAGCGGCCCGTGGAAAGAAGGTCAAGAGGCGGCCAGCGGAGTCTGGATCGGGGAGTTCGGAGTCGGAGCAAGGAGAAGCAGCAGGGGATAGCTCCGATTCGGCGGGGGAACTCAGCGGCGACGAGGGTTTCGGGGCCGCCGCCAGCGACGAAGACGACGCTTATAGCTTCGCCGAGGCGAGGATGAGGTGGGCGAGCGGCCGCGCGGCCGCCGCTGATCCTATTGGAAGCACTCCAGGCGGCGACGGTGGGAGCACAAGCGGGCGCAGTGACAATAGTGACACTGACGGCCACGACAGCGACGGAAGCGTCGGGGACATTTACGCCGATGCTCTCGCGAGATTTAACGGTGGCGGAGGCGGTTCAAAGGCGGGTCAGAGCGACCGGCGGCGGGGTGGTAGTGACAGTGACGGAGACAGCAGCAGTAACAGCGACGAGGACGCCAGCAGCGACGGCGGCGACACGGCAGAAGAGAAGCTCGCGCTCGCAGGGAAGAGGAAGAGTCAGCCAACGGCAGCGCCCCCGTCGGGTCCGAACGGAAACGAGGATGAGGGTAGCGGGGATGACATTGACCTCAAGGACGATTTCTTCATTGAAGAGAAGGTTAGCGGCGACGAAGAGCAAGCCCACCAAACGGGGGAGTACACCGGTAAGAACGCACGCGCCAGACGTGACGCGCGAAGACGCACCAGCGGGGAAAGCCGTAGTGGCGGCCGGGGGGGGCGCGGTGGACGGGGCGACCAGCAGGGTGGATGGGGGGGTCAACGGGGGCGAGGGCGGTCTTCTTTTGGTGGCCGGGGCACGGGACGAGGATTCACAGCGGGGAACAATAGATCTAAGGGTGAAGCGAACGTAACAGGCACCGGGCGGGCATGGATACCGCACGGGCGTGGCGGCGGGGGAAGGCGAGGAGGGTTTGCAGGGACAGGAGGGACCGCCGCTAGCCGCGGAGTCCGAGGGAGAGGGGCAGTAGGCGGTGACGGCGGCGCTGCTCGTCCAAACAAGAAGATCCGCTTCGACGACGACTAGCCAAGACGATGAAGTCGAGCCTCTGGGCATGTATCAATTTCGGTATCGGCGTTCGTAGCGGCGTTGTTGTTGGTTGAGCTGACGAACATGATGGTTCCGAGTGCAAGGGGCAGGGTTTACGCGCCAAACGCGGCAGGCAAAGAAGAGCATGTTTGATCAGAAAGCATCAGTGTCGTTGCTAATTTTCCCAGCACCTGCGGGAAATTCAGGGTGATGCCCGTCTGATCAGGTGTCTCAGCATGAAAAGAAAAAGCCTTCGAGTCCTAAGTGGTCATATGCGCTTGAAAACGCTGCTGTTCTCCTGTGTTGTTTATTGATACCCCATCTTGGGGGGTTTTGACGACGAATGAACTAACTTCCAAGAAGAGCACGATACAATCTTGTTGGGCTTCCGTACACCCCTAACCTCACCTTCAAAGACTATGGCAAGAGCGCAAGAGCCGTTTTCTGAGGCTGCGCACACCTCAAACACAAGGAAAACACGAAAACACACATCGACATGCAACGCCGAAAAAGCAAGTCAGCCAAAGAGAGAGGACTGTAAACCATAACTCGAAAGTATTCTTCCCCACGCAAAAAGTCACAAAAACCGAAGCCTTGACCGGCTAAACAAACCAAGAATATCACTAGATAATGACCGACTGCCACAACGGAAAACTCGGCTTTTGTAGCACTCCGCTCAGGCCACCAACTCCCTCCCCGCCAGATGCGATCGGAGCTTCATCAATACATACCAACCAACCAAGGACGCGGCATGGGAAGCATCTAACGCATAAAAATGAGTTTCTTGTCTACACAGCCACAGAGGACCAAATATGCACCCCGTCGTTGCTCGTCCGTCATACCACGTGAACTTCCAACTCAATTACACCTCTTTTTTTGTTTTGTCGCCGCCATCATCAAATACATCATCAGATAGTAGGGCAAAATATCGCAAAAGACGTCAATGACAATCGTTCAACCCTGGGACACGCCATGAAAGACAGCACTCGCATCAACCACATACGGACGTCGCACAGCCTTAAGTGAGCTGCCGAATCCCGCAATGTTCACACACAAAGTTGTAAGAATTTGGCCGCACAACCCCCGAAAAAAGTAAACACAAACCTTCTACACCCTGATTACCCTTCCTAAGCCGTCCAACGCCTGCTGTTGAGCGGTTCGGCCTCCCCGAAGGATTGCCAGATCGATACATAACTCGACGCTCGAACGAACAGATAATTTGACAAGCCGAGGATCCCAGAGACATGAGCGCATCGGCCACAAGACAAGAAAATGAACGAAACGTAGGTATCAACACGAGACGGCTCACAAGAACACACGACAGAAAAAAACACTGACGAGAAACATCCAAAGACCGACAACAATCCGAATGTCACGTGATAGATACTACGGCACCCTTCGGGCCGGCCGAAAAGTACGCAGCCACCACCTTCATTCGCCTGGTGCATCTGTGGTCGGTGATTTTGCTGTCTAGATACGTGAACTGTACACACCTGTTGCGTGATTCGCGCCACGGCCCGTGGACCGAGCGACAAAACTCAAACATGGCGAAAAACCACAGGCTTCACACACGTGCAGCCCGGAGAATAGACAAGGGGTGGGGGTTGCTACATTACTTCTTGCTTTACGCGGGACCTGCCCTGCACAAACTCAGCGCACGACCACGGGATACCTCAAAGGCCTACACCAGGCAGCCTTAGGTTGGCTCCATCCTGACCCGCATCATTTTTTCCTTTAAGATTACCATAAAACACGCTCTATGCCCCCCTAAACGACGCTCCATATCTCGCCTCTCGGTACCCACCTACCCGCCACGAGCTTGCCAAATGCGTCTATGTATGTAACGCACACCACCATCCGTAAAATTGAGAGATGCATTTTGTTGGCGTAACGGGCGCTTACGACATGAGAGTCGTTGCGGGGCTGGACCGGCAGAAGTCCATAAGTGACAGCGTCGCCGGCGCCGGGGGCGAGCCAGCGTCGCGTCCGATACCCCCGGTCCTATCGCAAGGAAACAAAAACAAAACAGCGATGTCGACAAAGGTTAACATCGACCAAGGCATGTGAGACCCAACGAGAAGCTAAACAGGCTCGCGGGCGTGGGGTGTGATTCAATCGCAGCAACGGTCATCGTCATGGTGCCACAGAAAATTTCACGGCTTGGCTCCATTACTCGAAAACCCCGTTAAACATGAACGCCAAACCCTCATCATGAAACGGAACAAGACTCTTGTAAGCAACCAGAGCCACGCACCTCTTCGGGCCATCGGAAGATCGCACCGCGAGCAGCGCTGAGGCCGCCGCGGCCGCAGCCTCCGAATCGTTAGTAGCCGCGGTGGCGGCTGTAGCGGCAGCCGCGCCGGCGTCAGCGCCCGCGCCAGAAGCGCCGGTCGCCGCGGCGTTGGTTCCGCCACTAGACTTGCCGCCGTTGTTGTTCTCGGCGGGGCTCCTGTCGTATAGGATGGCGCGGCGCTTGACGACCGGGGTCACAGCCGCTCCGCCGCCCGCCCGAGCGTCTCGCACTTGGTAGCCACCGCTGACACCGCCGGAGCCGTCTTCCGGGCTTGAGCCGGAGGCGAAGAAGCCGTCGACGTCGCCGCCGCCGCTGCTGCGGGAGTTGGGGGTGGCGGCCAGCTGGTCCAGCTTGCGCTTCGGCAGGAAGGATTGGTCGTTGTCGCTCATACCTGCGCAACGGAGGGGAGGGGCGGAGTCAAAGAGTTGTTGCGCACACCTCTTAAAGAAAATAAACAACCAAACACGCAGGGTAACAAAGAAAAGCGAACGGACACAGGAAAGACCACGCGCGTAGCCATCCCAGAGGTGCCACGGTCTGACATGACACAGCAGGGGTAGCGGGCTGCTTATGGATGTACGTCTCACACGGCACCACGGCTCATGCAACGGCTCATCATAAGCGAAAAGAAGCTACAATAGATGCGCGACCATGCGAGACGGTAACCTCAGCAGGCGTTTATCCCTCCTGTGCGAGGCCGTGTCACCTCCCGTGCGGCCGCGTGTGTCGTAACCGCACGGCACTTGTGTCCTCAAAAACTCCTACCGTACAGTGCAACAGGCAATGATCACCAGAAGCACAGACGCTGCAACAGAGGAGAGCCAACCACAACCATCAACGAACGAACAGTCCGAATGTCCCAGTAGTACTAAACAATACTCACAACCGTCGCTCTCGCAGCCAGCCATCATGTGGTACGACGGTGAATCCTCCGCGGGGCTGCCGCCGATGTTAGACCCACCCGGTCCGAACATGCGGTTCGTGGTTGATTGGCTCGAGCGGCTCCGGGGCGAACCTGGAGACGACCAACGCCAAAAACGAAAGGCCGCTTAGGGCTAGTGGAACAAAACCCGACTAATACCAGTCGCACTGCGTGTGCAGTGAATGAAGCTGGCGTCGGGTCTCACGCGCTCGAGGTACAATCAAGACGCAGACCCAGTTTCGTCACGCCGCTTCGATAGTTACTTTTCTCTTTCCACACCATGCCACCGCAACACGTATGATCTGCAAGCAGCCAACTCACCCTTACCCCTGCCGGTCTGAACGCCTCCTGACCGCCCGCGACCGGCCTCCGCCGACAAAGGCGCACGGTTGCCACCTGCGCTGGCCTTGAACTCCCTCAGGTCGCGCGCGGCGGAGCTGATGTCCATGAACTCGTCTCGAGTGTCGTCCGCATCGTTACCCCCGTCATTGCCCCCTCTTCTCCCTCCGCCGGGCGTACGCAACGTCGCGTCTTCGACATGGTACGGCGAGATGTCGGCCGCGGTGATGGCCGACAGAGCGGGGGACGCCCCGTTGTGCCGCCCGTCCCAGAGGGGGGACACGTCGGGTGTGTCGGCCGCAGGGCCCCCGCCGCTGCCGATGCCGCCGCCGCCGCTAGCCGGGCCCCCGTGGAACCCGCGAATGCCGCCGGGCTGCCAACGAATGTTCTTCGGAGTGTCCCATGCGGGCAACGTCACGTCTGTTGCCGCGGCGGCGGTGATCAACGCCGCAGGAGAGTGCGTATCTGATGGGAGAACAAAAAAAAAAAATGTGTGGGCCGTGGGTGAGCTACTTCCGGGGGTGACAAATGTCTGGGGCGGGATCCAATCACGGAAAGTGAACGTGGACGAGCTTGCCAGCGGTTCCAAAAACTATGTAAGCGGAGCACGACTGCAACCACCGTATCCGTATCACACCTCAAGTTGGAGCAGGAAAGTTTTGGAATGCAACGCCGAATCCCATCACAAAAACGTCACACTATAGCTACATCTTAGCTTACCGTTCAACGAGGAGTACTGAGACATGCCCGTGCCTCCAGGAGTGTTGGGGAAGAAGCTGTGGAGGCTGGGCGAGGCACTCCCTCGGTCTTTGAAGCTCACGTCGTGGATACGCTTGCTCAAGCCAGTCATGACCCTGCGAGAGGCGGGGCGCGGGTGTGGTTGGTTACAAGAGCAAGAGTCAGGCAGACGTGTCAACATCAAACACAGCTGGCAGTGCAACCACAAGCGCAGCGACTCCAACACTGTGCCGGCTTACCACGAAAAGCCAGACCTAACCAGAGGCTGAAGATAAGACAGACGGGAGGTTCCACAGACAAAACAACAACAGAGCATCGATGTATAGCCGGCGAGAAACCACCTGACAACCTACCCCATCGGAGAAGATCCAGCGGCGCGCAATCTCTTGTCCGGCGTCAGCGGCTCCCAACCCGCCCGCGCCTGCCCATCAGCAAACGACTCCTCCGACTCAGCGCTCGAACTGCTTCGACTGGGATGCTTGGCCCCGTCGCCGCCCGCACCAGCACGCCGGCGGCCTCGCTTGGGCTGCTTCCTGGGGCCTCGTACCCCCTTCCCGCGCCCCTTCCCCGCTGACGCCTGCGCGTTGTCGCCCATTTCGTCCTCGCTGCTGTCGGCCTGCCTCGGCTGCTGTCCCCGACGGCGGCTCCGACTCGCAGAGCCGGGTTCGCCAATGGTGCCGACAGCAGGGCGCCCGCGGCCTGCACCGCTGGCGCGGCTTGCCGGCGGAGGTGCGGCAGCGCTCGCTGCTGGCGCCACCGCGGCGGCGGCGGTGGCGGCGGCAGCAGCCTGTGCTCGGGCAAAGCTCGCTGCGGCAGACGAGGAAGGCGACGCACTAACGGTGGCGGTCGCGGTGGCCGTCGCTTGCGGTTTGGAAGCGTTGGCCGGCTGCCGGGATTTGGAGGTGGCAGGCTGTGCCACCCCGTCGACTTCGATGCGCTTGCGCGGAGGGCGTCCTGGCCAATGGTGTGAGGAAAAGGGAGGTTTGGTGAGTCAGGGTGGTCGCGAAGGGAATAATAGACGGGTCCTCACGCAAGGGAAATGGATTACCGATTCGAGGCCGTGGAGACGTCCCGCATTCTTGACCTGCACGAAAGCGAGCGGGCTAGGCTAGTGAAAGAAGAACGACGCAAAACGCAGTGACCCACCAAGACCAGCAAACCGCATGACCACTTCATAAAAGCATACAAAAAAGAGCAACGAAGGTCACGATCGAAAAACACGACCTCCAGGTCGACAGCTTTATTCGGGGACAGGCGGATGGGACGGGGGGCGGGGGGCGGGGGGGCTTTTACCTCGGCGTGTTGCAGGCTCGTTCGGGTTGCTCACGGTAATCCTGCCCCTCACAGCGGCCAAGGCGATATCGATCACGTTTTTGAACCCGTGGCCCTCAAACTCTGGGCTGCTCGGGGTGAGATCGGTGCGGGCGAACACGATCTCCGCCTTCCGCTTCATGGAGGAGTTCCAGTGGTTCTTGATAGCGTTGTCTGTTCGCCCGGGCATCACCTTCGCGATCTCCGCCCACTTGTTGCCGAGCTTCTGGTGCTGGATCAGGATTGTGTGGTCCTGTAGATAGAACGGTTCCGGATTCTGGATTTATCATGGTCGAAAATGCAAGGCAACTTGCACCAACGCGTTATCACCCGACGTGAAGAGCGAGGGAAAGAGAAAACCGCAAAAATATCTTCGTAACACATCGACCCCAACAACCGAGGCCCAGACGACAAAACTCCAAACATTGCGGTGGTTTTGAACGTCACAGAAGAAATAGCAACGATGAACGGACCAGTGCCACCCCAAACAACCAAACCCGCTCGCACACCTCGTGCTCGCTCCAGGGAACTTTACTGATGTGCGGATTCAGGTGGTTGTGCCAGCGCTCGCGGCACTGCTTGCCGGTGCGGCCGGGGAGCTGAGCGGCGATGCAGCTCCACTTCTTTGCGCCGATCTGACCCACGAGCTCCGCCACGCGCGCATCGTCTTCGGGGGACCAGGGCCCCTTCGTGCCGCCGTTGAAGACCTTGGTCCAGCGGTGGAAGCACTGCATGTCCGTCTTTCCGGGGATACTATCGGCCACCTGTAGTGTAGGGATTTCCCAGGGATTCCGCAAGAGAGGTAGGTGTCCACGAATGAGCAACCAAACGAGAGCAACGAAGTTGTTTTGTTGGTATGGTTGTCCATACAACAGGAACAAAACATGGTACAGCGGTCCCCGCTCCGTAGATTCTACCGTTTTTACGTTGTTACTCAACGGAAGCGGGAAAAAAACAATGTCCGCAACCAAAGTTAAGGACACGTTTTCCGTGAAGTAAGGAATTGGTTCAGAACTGCTGCTTTGAGAGAAAGGTGGCATTTTATCCTTTGATCGTTCGCCGCGGGGATGGAAAAAAATCACTTGCTTAAGCCCTCGTAATCGTCGCCATTGGACATACCTCCCAGAAGAAAGCGGGGAACATCACAAGCCCACGCACACACGAGGTGGACCAGGTACCGACAAACAACAGACAACACACGAGAACGAGCCGGCTGGAAGCGGCCTTGTTGTGCGCCGAGCGTAAACTACGACGAGCCCAAAAAGCATGTGGCCAAACGCATACTCATATGCATCTAAGACACGTGTGGACCCGTCTAATAGCAGGCTTGTTTCCCGATATGTATCGGTGGGGAAATAGATGCACGCTAGGCTTCAACTCTTCCAACCAGTGCGATATGCATACAAACTTTCGGAACAAATTGATTGGTGTGCAGCGGTGCCAGCATCCTAAATAGGTACAAATATTACTACAGACATTCAGTGACTCAATGACACCAATACAGCACTAATAGTCAGCAGTGTCATTGTACTCAACGAGCAAAATGTAACATTCGGAGCCTTGGACCCACACTTCGAAACAAATAACTTCACTGGCACTCCTAAAATCCTAAAAAACACAAACAAGAGGGCATCGTTCCGCATGATCATGGGGCTGGTGTATTTTGGGCGAGAGATTCAACGGGATCGAAACCAAGGGGACCATCTGCCTTCATGTTCCATCTGGAGCTGTTGACGTGTAACACACAAGAATATACGCGAAGCAGGGACGCTACGAGAGAATCCGGTTGATGGGTGATGACAGCTTGGTCCGGAGCGGATAAGTACCCAAAAGCACGTACTTTCACCATCACGGAAAACGGGGTCTGTGTCGTCGTGTGGTATGATGACAAGTGCTCAACAGGTACGCATACAACACATGCTTTGTTTCTTATCTTCCCGATGTTCCATGTTCAAAAATATGAGCGTCGTGCCAATCTGCACATACAAACAGCAACCCAGTTCAACGCTGCGCAGAGTCGGAGTCTAAATAGTACGCCAGCAGGTCAAAAGCACCATAGCAGGCACGCAAGGTCCACAATGTCCGGATTCGGGACCCTCCCCGACTCCAATTGCACTTGTCTACCTCTCCTTCGAAGTCTCCCGAATGCAGGCGGAAAAAAAAATAGCGGTCGCATCCATACATAGGTGTGGTGCCGAAAAAAACTACAACGGCCATCGCATTCCGTGTGACGTAATGCGAACAGGGATCGGGGCGAACCGCCGCTATTTCAACTCTTTTATTCGGGAAAGGCCGGCTGCACTTGAACCCAAGGCACATCAAACCTTTGCTGCCGGTTGGGCAAGCTGGGGGTAAGTGCCTTGCCCCCGTGGCCGTTCGTGCGGAGTCAGCATAGGATTGTTACAACCATGCCTTCTTACGGTCTCCGCGGGGGCAAACAGTACACCGAGAGAGCCAGCCACTTTTCAGCCGTACCACATCAGAGAACCGACGAGGGTCCTGCACAAACGATACACGGCATCATAGACGTGTGTCAGAAAAAGTCACCCACCACTCTCCAGTTCCCCGAGCCATTTGAATCCACGAGCTTCTTGAGCTGCGCGTCCTCTGCCGCCGACCACCTGGTCTTGATGGGCTTCCTGCGGTAAAGCAAGTTGCTGCCCCCGCCGCCGCCGCCGCCATCGAAGTCCTCTTCCGCAAACTCCTCAACAACAGCAGCAGCATCTGCTGAAGCGCCAGCAGCAGCGTCGCCCCCGCCGCCCTTCCCTCCCTCCTCGTCGTTCCCGATTTCCCCGCCCTCGTTGCACTCCAGAATCATCTCCGCGACGCGCTTGCTGCGGTCGACAGCCTTCGCGGCGGCTGCACGCTGGATTCTGCGCCCCTCGCTGGCACGAAGGTGCTGTTGCCCCTGGTCGTACGCAGAGCTACCGGTCGATGCCGTGTCGTCGTGACCCGCATCCAATTCCGTTTTCGGGACCATAGCACCGACGGACGCACGGTTGGTTTCGAGGTGCTGTCTCTCGCCTGCTTGCGCTATCGTGGCGCTTTCTTCTCCTCCTGTGCCTACTGCTGCGCGCGTTCCACGCCCCAAACACTCGGTATTCTGCTGCTTCTCCTCCTCCTCCTGCTGCTGCTGCTGCTGCTGCTGCTGCTGAAAAAATTACGGTTGTTGATTTTTTTCGCATCCATCCCCAAAAAAATAGTAGCCAAGCAGTGGATAGAGAGCAACGGGCGAAATAAAAGGATGGCGAAATGTTCATAGGATGGCACGAAAAATAGGCTTAGCCAGCGCGCATTATCGATACCACACGGTATGCGCAGATCCAAGAAGGGCACTCAAGATACAAGGCAAGACTTACGTGTGCGTGCAAGGAAGCCGGCGGGGTTCGGCATGGCATGAGGCAGCAGGGTCCAGCAAAACGACTACGCTCTTCTCGTGGACTTTTCCGAGTATCATTTCTCCGCTAACCGATGATGACCTCTCTCATCACACAACGGACAGCAGCGGCAAACAGCAGGGCACATGCTCCTTCCTGCAGCCTTTCCCTGTGCTACGATATGCTGCTGACTTGGCGAGTCGGTGTCGACATGTGCTCCCGACCATGGGTCGGGTTTGTTTATCTTCACACGAACGCACACGTACGGGAACGAGACATCATGGGCAGAGAGCGCGCCAAATCCCTAACCCCGAACCCAAACGGCTCCTTTTTGCACCCCGAAAAAAAAAGCAGCAACGACAAAAATCTGGCAACAACGTGCGTTGGGGTCAAGGCGGCGGGCGCGCCGCCCGACAGCCTCTCTGCTGACGGCTGCGGTGGATAACAGCACGCTCCGCCCTACCCCGCTCCCACCCCTACCCCACCTGCCCGCTCCTTGTACCTGGCTTTCTCGTCCAACCGCCTCTCGCCCTTCTGGTGTTGTTTTTCCCAACGTCAGAAAAGGCAGGGTTGTCGATCTCCCTCTCTCTCTTGTCCTCTTCCGATTTGCGCTGCGGTCCTCGCGGACAGCGACCGCGGCGCCCACGGATCAGGAGACACGATAATTCCCTTCACCACGGGCGCTTGTCGTGCTCTTGTGGCGTCGCGCGCCCTCTGCCTCTCTCTCTCTCTCTCAATATCTCTGTGGATGACTCTTCAAGAGACCTCGCCGGAGGAAGTCGAAGACCCTTTCTGCCTGACCAGCCTCCCGACGACGCCAAATTTTGAGGTGAATTTTCCACTTTAGGACGGGAGGGGGGTTTCATAACGGAGGAGGCGTGTTTGCACACGACATGATCTCGTCGCAGAGAACCACGGCAGCAGTGGGCGTGGTCAAACCCCGAGCATCACGTGCACGTGCCGTCAGCACCAGCACTCAGAGGAGAGTGAGGAAGCGCTGAGAAAGTTGTTTTTGTTGCTATCAGGTGAGCAGAGGGCATCTCCGAGTTGACTGACGCACACAGGGTGGGCTCTCGCGTCCCGTGACACTCGTTTGAAATCTTCTTGTGCTGCTGCTGCTGCTGCTGCTGAAGCTGTACTGATACACATCCTCTTGCTTTCCTTGTATCGTACGCGATGACAGTCCTCTGTCTTGTCCCTTTACTCGTCCTCAAGATAATTACCGAACCTTATAAACATGTGGCATATTTTGGCCGAAGTCAGCAAGTGGAAGCAGTGAAGCGTATCTACAGCTGCTGTTGTCTCCTACGTAAGATCACACCACAGCAGTTGTTGCATGTTGTATCGTCCCCCGTCGTACACAGCCACAGCCACCTCGCCTAGACATAATTTCCTTTGGCGCCCCTACCCTGTTGCAGCTTTCGCAGCTGCTGTTCGAATAAATATGTTTGTGTTCAGAGTATGGGTACGTAGCACTCGCTTGCATCACCGGCCGGGGCAGTACCGCTGCTACATATTTGGTTCGGAAAGCTATCGCCATATCGGGATGAGCTTACGATATTGCCCGCCACTGCTACCGACCGACACCCTCGGCTACGAACACGCGCAGGAGGTTTTTCACTGCAATCTATACGTCCTCCGCCGACTGATCTTACTCTCGCAATACACTAGATTGACCTACTCTTACATTCAACCACGATGCAGCACTGCTGTAGGCTATGACGCTTGGGGTCCTCGGTTGCCAACAACTGGCACTGTCTACGAACCTTCCGGTTTTCCACCACGATATCGTGCAGCATTGACGTTATGTCAGGACTCTCCATGCCGTAACCTGTGTGTCCACCCGCTCGGACAGGACCACCCGCAATGAGGGTGCTAGGTTTTCTTCCTTCCAATGCGGGGGTGGGGCTCCAGGCGGGGATGGGTTTCCAAGCAACGGCGTTCTCCTCCCCGATCCGCGCGAACACACCGCTTCAGCAGCCGCCGCCGCCGCCGCCGCTTGGCGTGGGGGTCTGCTTATCGTCACCACCGGGTGCAACATCAAGAACAAGCAGCTCCCGCCGACGCCCTCACCGGCCGTATGCCTCGCTGTTTGACTCTGGCGACGAGAACAATGCCCGGGACGACTCCCCTGGCCCTGGCGACGCCGACTCTCGGGGAGAAGCGCCAGAATCAAAGAGCGCCCCTTCCTCATCGGAAAGTGGGGTGAAGCCAGTGCCTCGAGTTGACGAGCAAATGACGGGGAGTCTCGGCGACGCCGATGCTACCGGGGAGGACCCACCACAAGCAGAGGGCGAAGCAGCTGCGACTGGAGAAGGCGCAGAGGAGGAGCAAGTAGACTGGGACAAGGCCTGGGCGAGCACCCGGCAAAGAATGGAGCGGGAGAAGAGGGCGGCGCCGGCGTTTTCGGGCCGGAAGCAGGTCGTGGCTACCAAGAACGAGGACGGGGGTTACGACTTCGAGGAGATTTCGGCGGACGGGTCTAGCAGGATGCGGGGTGACAATGGGAGAGGGGGGTTTGGGTTCGCCGACAGCAACCAGGTGGAGGACGGGCCGGGGAGCATTCGCAGGAAAGAGCAAGAAACCGTCAACTTCGCCACTACGAACCAGGTGCGGATAAGGTAGACACCCTTGATATTTGGACCCCGGGTGTGGGTCATGTGCACACGGGATGGAGTGAATACTGCGGTGGTGTTTAATTTTCTGTTGCGGGTGTTGCTTGTAGACGACGTCCTGGACGCATGGAGGCAGATCCTTGTTTGCCACGACGATGTTGCCCCCTACCACATACGGATGACGTCATACCGTTTTTCGTGGGTCGCACCATCGCCTCTTCTATAGCCCTTGGCGTCCGCGGTGACGGAGCCCTCCCGTTTGGGGCAGGGGTCTGAAGCCTCGGCGTGGCCGCACGGTTACCGCTGATTCCACATGAAGTAAAACAGGCTGGTCGCTGCCGATACTTCCCCATCAAAAACACAAGCAAATGAAGGAAAACAGACGAAAGTACTTGCCAGGTGCAAGACACGGACCGAGAAAAGTACACACAAGGATATACCATGGCATGCGACCAAGCCGAAAGGAGCTGTCTCTCTTTGCACCCAAGCCAGTCCAAAGCGCGTCACTCGGTCGGGTTTTCGCCGGCTTGCCTAATCACCACCCTTACCGGTCGGGGTTTCGCTGGCCTCGCCAACCACCACTCTACGTTTGAAAAAAGTATCTCGCTGACAATCCACGGCGTTGTGCACCCTTTTGTTGCCGTTCCCCAGGCGTTCGCGGGCTTGTTTGCCATCCTCCTGGCGTCCCTGATCTTCGAGGTGTACGTCTACATGTCTGGAGGGATCACCAATGGTTCGACGCGGTTTCAGGACATCGGCCAACCCACGTGAGTGCGTAAATTCTCGTGCGCCGCGGGCAACAGCGATGGCGTGAGAATGATTTCTGAAGCCGCATGATGCTCAGGCTTCGGCAGCATTCGCACGATCCATTGCAGAGGATGCACCAAGGCTGCCGGACTACCATGACACGACTGCAAGTGATCTCGCCCCATTGGCTTACACTCGCATAAGAACGTGTTTGCCCGAGACGTCAAACATGTGGCTATGTTTATTCCAGGACAACACGCCGTGCTGCTCTGCATCACGTTTAGACGCGCAGCCGGTTGCAAGCGCGTGCGTCAGGCCTCAAAGGTCGAGCACGATTTTTTTCAAGGTGCTCGTATCGTTGAACACGAATGCCCTGCTCTGTTTTTCGACCGGGTACGTTCAGTCGGTGTCTCACCTCTCGCCGATATGCCCTTGGATATGCAGAAGAAGTTGTAGCATGCGTGTACTTCGAGGCGAACGTCAGCCAAACTTATCTACCCTTCCTACCGATTCCCCCACGCCCACCCGGCAACCGGCAACAGAACGTACGACGCGTTGCCATTACCGGCGACGCCACCGACAGACTTGGATTTGGTCGTGTGACGTTGGGGGCAAAACCTGGCGCGGGTGATGACGTCAGCATTCGCGCCAAGACGAACAAGGAGCCGGCGGGCGCGGCAAACATGTCTCGAACAGCCCCCCCAAGAATCCCTGGAAATTTCAGAAAGCGCTGCGAGGGGGGGGAGCGCACGGATCAAACACGACCTTATTGCGATATCAGGCCCCGTGTTGCAGTTGTATCGGCTGCGGCATGACCCCACCCGCTGCTGTGGGTAAGGAATGATGCAGGGTCTGGATTTCCGTTGCTCGGACAGCGTTGTCTGTATATGGCGGGGGTAGATGTACATATTTGGGGGGGGGACTTTACCCTTGCCACAGTTGTGGACGACGGAATTTCTTGTAGAGAACCCTAGCAGTTGGTGTTGTTTCGCGAGTTTGTTCAGTCTCACGTCTGTTGTGAGTCTTGGTGGCAGAGGATGTTGTCGGGCATGCGCCCTCGGTTCAAGTTTCGACGAAGCCCGCCGTGGTCTAGATGGCACCGCCACCGTGAAGGGTGCCGTACCCAATTCTATCCACTCCGTGACTTGTGGTATTGGCGCGAAGGTGCCCCAGTTTGCGCTACATGTATGAATCCACAATGTTGTCGTTTGTAAACGCATGATCGCCTTTCCGTAGCACCTGACAAAGCTACCACCCGCATAGCAGAGTGTCTCGATCGGAGATTGGTCAGGATATGTATCGAACGGAATACGTTTTGCCTCCTCTTTTCTGCTGCGACTCTGTACGAATCGGATCGGCGGTGGATCCGCAAATTCCTCCGCCTCGTCAAGGGCGTTGCGGGTACCTAGCTGGAACACATACGGCTGAGTTGCGCACGACCTCGTAAGATAGCACAGAAACGACCGGGCTATCTTGAATGGTCTCCGAAGCACCTGGGTATTATACAAGTCCGGCGCCGCACAGGCAAAGTACCACACACCATCCCTTCCGAACGACAAGGATAAGCTTGCAGCAGTGGCGTGTGGCTGAAGAGATTTGTGGCGGTAGTTCGTGCGTGGGCCCCGTCGCACACAGTAGTCCAGGTACCATACTAAAACCCGGGTTCTGACCGCGTAGATTGCGCCATCAATAAAAGCGTTGCTCTCTCACCATCTCTCAAACAACACAAGCTTTCGTTGTGCTAATATCTTCCCATCTCTCTCAAAGCGTTCGTTCTGTAGGTGTCGTCCCTCCTCTCTTGGTAGAATCGAGTTACCCGACCGCGTGGAACACAGCGTAAAAGCGATGAAACACCTACTCCAGGTCGCCATGCCTGTCGTATGTGCATTTCTATGCATGTCGATCCCGACGTGTGCGTGAATCCCAGCGAAATCACCAAACCTGTACAGAATTTCAAAACAACCAACAAAAATCGCAGCCTACAGAGCTAATGGCACCACAAACACTTCACCTATTTCATGTAAATGATCGATCTTCGGAAATTATGTGCACCACTGCAGCACAAAACGAATAACATAACAAGTCATCTGCAAGAGCACACCGCCGGTACGGGTGATTGGTGTTACTAACGAAGCCGGTTCTCTGCGTAATTTTTTTTTTGACGCCCATCATCACGCCTCTGATGGTATCTCCGGGTTGCATGATGCAAGCCTCTTGGAGTCGTAGTTGACGTAAAGCGAATACTGGTACACGAGGTTCGGTATGGACGGCTTGAACTCGCACGGGCTCGCTCCAAGCAGTTCCTTCATGAACGGTGCGTTCTCCAATATCGTGCTACACAAGACGAGCCCGGCACCCCCTGGCCGCAGTAGCAGTTTCGTCGCGGCCGTGTAGCTCTCCCACACCTAGCTCCGTGGGAAGCAGTATGGGCGCGATTGCAAACAACGTGGGTTGCATGCATACGGTCGGACGACATTCTGATAAGGTAGAGCGAATGCCCGAAAGCCAATGCTCGTGTGGCGCGAAACGTGAGTTCAAACGACTGACAATAGAGTGCATACATAATGTGCAGGGGTCAGAAATGTATCTCACCATGCTCGAAGAACTTTAGTGAGAATGGGGTCCGGAGCACAGGGTCGTAGGGAGTGAACTGCACCTACCACATCAACCATACGTTCAAGGTGCTATGCATAGAAGCTCGCACTTCGAAGTACAAAATCCCGTTGGTGGACCCTCAAGTAAACAGCGGCGAGAGAGCGGTGATTAATTGGACGCAGTTTGGACATCCCGCGCATGTTGATTGGTCATTGTTTCGTGGGAGGCTCTCGCAAGGGATACCGTAGTGAGGAAACGTTATCGATGGGTGTCCCGCATTTTAGACGGGTAGTTCCTGTATTATGCCCTTTTGTAGCACCTTTCCTTAACAACAGCAAAATTACAGAACGGCGAACAGCTCTCTTCGATTGAGCCTTATATGTTTCTGCCATTTGCCCCCGCTATTCTACCTTTTTATCCTAGACCATAACTGGGCTGCGTATACGGAGAACGAGCCTCACCTGTCTGGTGACGAACGGAGGGTCGACAACGACCATGTCGAATGTACCCCGTACCGTTTCCGGGATGTCTTGAGGCTTGGTATAGTCATAAAGCACGAAACCGGGGTCTTTCGCCCACTTGGTGTCAAGCTGGACAACGCATAAGCGCATACCGTGGTGGGGTTGGCGCGGCGTGAGAACAAGAACGCAGCTATCGATCTTCAGTTTTTTCATGGAACTCTCCCTGGGATTCTCGACAAGTAGAGTAATGAAGCGGTGAACTTGAATACTCCGGTAAGGAGGGGGTTGCATGTGCCCGAAAGTGTATCTCAAGTGCAGTACCGTCCATAGGTTGTGAGGATACGAGGCGGCCCGAGTCCATTCCAGTCGCAACCGCTACGCGTAGCGCCGAAAAGACACCCCTGAACATACCACGGTGCGTAATAACTCACGTCGAAAACCTTGCATTTCGCCCTGAGATCCTTGTCCAAGGAGAAGTATATACTGGGGGTGGACAGAAACGCGGTACCACCAGATCCAAACTCCTCCACTTCCGCTGCGGGTAACGGTCGGCGGCGACGGCAAGGAACAACAATCTAGCTTACACACCAGTCAACGTCTGTCGCACAAATGGCGGCGTTGATGGATATCTAGACTATTGTCCCACACTCACACAATCCTTTCGTGAACTTTTGAGGAATAGTCATGCAAAGATGTAGTTACACCGACATTGTATCCCACCGCTACGCTCCGCTTCCGCTCACGACCCAATGTTTCACGTTTCTGTCGAATATCATCATGTCTACACGTATATCGGGCAAGCTGTTCTCTGTCACGAAATTATACATCAACCCAGCCAGGCTACACCGCCCCCACACGTGCGAAATCCTACAACTCAAGTAGGTGGGTGGGTGATGTCTGCAATGATGGAACCTGTTCAAATCCTCACCTATAATAGCGTCAATTGTCGCCTTCGAGTACCAGTACTGGTTAAGATCTCCTTTCTGTAAACACCACGGTGGCCATGCGCGCAGGGGGCGGGGGGTGCTGCTTCAGGGCGGTGAAATCTGCGGGAACATGTGTAGAAGTTCAGTCGTCAATGGGTCGACGTGAGCGAAGATGCGGGGCAACTACGATGGTTGGTTCTGTGTCTGTGGTGATCGTGGCAGTTATAGCAACGAGGCTCGCCATCGACACATTTTAACGATATGATAAGGTTAGTTCTTTCGAGACTAATAGCTCATGTCAAGTGCCCTCCCGCCGCGCGTTTGATCATGTTTACTCCCTCCTATTTCAAGTGAGAGCACCCGTATCTTGGTATCTGATCTTCCAAATTGGTGTTCGGACCGTTTTGAGATCAATCGCAAGAATTCCCGTTTTCGCTCACCTCTGGGTTCTTCATGAGGAATCGGTTGCGTTTACCACCTAGCTCTGCCATGACCAAGAGCTTGGAGACACGCAACACGGCTTGATTGTGGTGACTACAGCCAGCAGCGCTAGGCGGTGGCTCGCCAACCTCCACTGACCCACCTTGGTTGATGGGGCGGGGGCTACGCGCCGTTTGCGTCATAACCCTAGTACGTGTTTATGCGATATGTGCGTCGCCCCTTGGTATGGGTGCCTCTCGGCTCTCGGCTCGCACAGTACGCGCGCGTGGTCGTTGCGGGGGGCAGAGAGGAGGAGCGAGAGGGTGACCGCGGGGGCCAGTGAATCTCACTGGTGCCAAAATGAACGACTGGAAGGCTCCCATTGGCAGGAGCGCGGGGGGGGGCAGTAGAAACTACGGGGGTCCGAATGGCACTGCGGAGAAAGTGGACTACTCGCGGGTGCCGAACGAGGCAGCGCCTGTTGATGATGGGGAGGGAGACGACTGGATACAGCGACAGATCAGAGGACACAAGGTGGGTTCGAAAGCTTCTGTGGGTTCACAGTAGATCATAGTTCGCGTGTCTTGTAATAACGTAAAAGCCAGTATTTTGAGGGGGTTGTTTTGGCGGAACATATCACATTGGAGTCTGCGGAGAAGGTTGATCGTGAAAGAGTGTCACAGGTAGGGGTTTACACCCCATTGTCGTAAGAGCCCGGACATCTGCATAAAAATACAATTGACACTTGATACGTCACCAAAAGACTTGCCCGTTCGAGATACAAATAGCACGCGGTTCGGGAGGGATGCGTGTATAGTCGCGTTGGAGGACAGTTGCTGGACACAGAGTTTTGTCGGTTTAAACTCTAGCCTACACACACTTTTTTGTTGGGGAACGACGATGCAAGCCGGAACAATTGCATTGTTGCGTTTCCGCCCATGCGTGGCGTAGGGCAATCACACACTCACAAGTTGTCTCATTGCCTGACAGCAACAATAATGCGAATCCTCTCTTTCCGTGTGCTCAACGGTTAAAACTCCAAGCGTGTAGGCCAAGTTCCTCACAGTCCAGCTGTATTATCAGTACAGTAGGCAAAACTGAGTTTTTCAGTTCGGTCGGATCAATACAACGCCGGGGCCAATCCGAATTTTGCTCCAAGATTTCAAACAACTCTTGCAGCTGACCAGCTGACAACACATGTGCTGACCCCCCGCCCCCCGCCCCCCGAGGCCTTGTCTCCTAGCTCCCTCACCCACGGCTCTATGGACTCAGCTGGCTCCCAATGCACGAAGCACCTCGCCAAGAGGAAACACATTGTCGAGCAAGTACTGATGGCGTCTTGCCGGTGCTGCGGTGGACTGTTGTTTCTTTGAGGGTTAAGGCCTGGTATGCGTGCTTTCGTGCCCCCGCCACGCCTTTCTGCTCACCACGCCTCCCCTCTCTCGTCTTTCTCACCTCTCCAGCAGAGCGCACAGGAAATATTCGACACTACAGATCACCTCCCGTTCCTTTAGCATTTGTGGTGGAAAACCGTCCATCTTCTCTGTCGGGGTGCTGTGGAACTGTTCGCCTAGTTTAGTTTGGCAAAACACGCAAACAACCAAGCCATAAGCAAGTGACGGTTCTTCTATTATTACCTTCCTTGTGGCTCTAGTCCGTGTGTGTGCAAGCAAGTGAAGCAGAGCAGCAGTTGTGAACTGCTGTAACTCAAGCACACGGCGCACCCTGGACCGCTTTTCAAGTTTCGATATCTCAACAGCGGAAAGAGTCACAGCGCTGCAACCGGTGACGTTGAAGCCGTCTCACCGAGAGCTTTGATGGGGATTGTGTGTGTACCCCAGGGTGTTGTAAATACGGCGCTCAGGTGGCCAGCATAGACAGATTCACCAAACAGACTGTTGTAGTCTAGGCAGTATGCCAGCAGCATCCAAGGTACGACAAGGACAGCTAAGGTAC